TTTGAAATCCCCTCACCATAAACACTAATGCTATTTTCACAATGTTTTTCATGCCATTGTTTAAAAATCCCTTTACAACATCTCTCTTCTTATTGTATTCAAAATGTGGTGAGATTGCAATTTCATCGAATGATAACATGTATAACTTGTCAGTCTCGGACATTTTTTAACTTTTTTACTTAAAACGTCAAATAAATTATCGTTAATTCCAGGCTTCCAATCAGCTCTTGTTATCACGCGACTCAGTGTTGCTGAATAATGCAGAACAAATACATTCCTAAGCCACCTGTAAGCTCTAGGTCCTTGTTTGTAAAGAGCTAGGGACAAAATTTTTCTTTTTTTGAATATCTTCGTGCCATTTTAGTTTTAGTGCCTTTTTCAGCTTCAATGCAAAATGATCTTTATCAGCTTGTAATTTTTTATTTTGCGAACAAGAGTAGCTTCAGAAGAGAATACTTTGCAAATACTAGTCTTCTTTGACGCTGAAAATAATTAAAATAAGAATTAGTTTCGATAACTAAAAAAAAGCCAGCAAAATATAAAAACTATTTAACAATTTCTGAGTTCCGAAACTCGGATCTGATTTCCAATTTGGAACTTGCCATCATAACACAATCAAAATTCATTTATCCATTATAGCCTATCAAAAGTCTTCTGCTAAATATAGTCCACAGAATAGATCTCTCTAGATCTAAATTTGCTCGTGGTTGACTCACTTAGCAGGCAATAGGCAACTGCAGTTTTCCATTATTTTGAGTTGTTCTGAGGAGGATGTAGCTGTCCATCTCCTATTTAATTTTGCTGTCACCTCTTGACACTTACACTACGATATTGACACACAAAGCAAAATGACATTAGTCGTAACACAATTTTGCAATTTGAGAAGTGGATTTCTACGCAATTTTTACCATCATTCAGATAAGAACATTTTATGACAAAAGTTTATATATACATTAATATTTAGTTTACATATTTGGGTTGTCAATGCAAAGGTACAGTCTGCTAGTCTCATAGAAAGAAAAGATTACACTTCAAGAATATTAAATAAAAGTTGTCTGTTTGAAATTACCTTCAACAGTTGATAGTAAGATGACAGGCTTTGCAGTGCTTGTTGATGGGTGGTAATCAAAACCAACATTTATATAGCAGCCTGAAAAAATACAAAAATTAAAAATTTGTATTTAACTGTTTTGTATCATATATTTGAGGTAAAAATCTAAGTACGATTTCATATGTTTATAATTTATTATAATCGGTATAGAATAAAATCTTGATATAACCTATATTTAAACACAATAGTAATAATCAGATTTACATAATACCAAAAATTATTGAGCCTAACCACACATTGAATCAAACATCACTTACCTGGCAAATGTAAAGCTGGTACTGCATTAGGTGCAAGTCTTTTACTCCATATGTAATACTTCGACTCAAAGTGAGATGACATACTCTGCGGTACTTAAATATATTGTCATCCTTCATAGCTAAAATGTCTTCACTAATGGCATACACCCAAGAACGAAATCAATCAGCTTGTTTGCTTGGGTTTGAAAATATATGTAATATAACATTATCCGATCCTTAAACAACAAATAAATTTAATAGTATTATTATATAATGCTAATTTAATGATATTTTCAATCTTCTTATATTGAGTGGATATGAATAAGCTTTAATAGAGATAAGTGATTTTATGCTTATTAAAGCATTAAATAATTTATTCTGTTGTTTTGTACCTAAAGAATTATTTATATTTCTTTATGAACAACACGTAAAACTAACCTGATATATGTACAGGCATTATATATTGCAATTACAGCGACGTTTAAACAAATAATTTCAAGTAGGTTTTATTTTTGTACCTTGTAATAATTTTATGATATAAATACTTACGGTTTTTGCTGCAATTAGGTACACAGCATCTTTTTTCAGCAGCCATGGTAAATGTCGACAGAATCCAAGTTTTAAGGCAATCCAAAATCCGAAAAGAAGACCGTGAGTTAACGTAAACAGATTCAAGGTACAAAGTCAAAATAGCAAGCAAAAATCGTGGACAAATCCACAAAAATCCACAATTACAAGCAAAGGATAACATTCACGTCAACAAATATCAAACGGAATTAATTTGAATTTATTACCAAGATGGCGGGCAAGGCGAAAAAATGCACCCTCTGGGGCTAAATGTTTTAAACATAAACACGTCTAAAATACAAATTGTATAGAAGTGATAGGCCCCTGGTAACGGCGATCTAACTAATACATTAGTAGTGGCGCCTTTTAAATGGGAGCATTAAAGGCGCGCATACACGGTATCTAGACCTATAAAACAAAAAAAAATACATATAATAGCGTTCAGTTAACACAGGCTCATCAATTACAAAGTTAAATTTTGACAAAAATATTAACATCTACTTTGTTATACGCAACATGGCCCGATCTTTCAATATCGTCCATAACGATAGTATTTACTGAATTAACTTTTTAACCATTAAAATTTCCAATGCATAATTCTTAGGAACAAGGTAGGTAGTTGTAAATTTAGATAATAAAACAATTGTTAAAATGATTCCATAAATATTTGTTCATAAGTACGCAAAGTAATAAAATACTTGTATTATTAAAAAAAATACATAATAAAATACACATCCGAAACAACTATCAACAGCAATAATGTTATAATAAACCTTAAATATGTATGAATAGGCATTAACGTTATTAGCAGGTAAATGAGTTAATACATTTATTTCATGTGTGATATTTTTATAGCACTTTAAAATTCAAGAAGCTTAAAGTATGATTTCATATAATAATAATATTTAAATTTTCGGTATCAAAGTAAAAGAGCAAATAAATTAAATAAATTTTGGAAGAGATTTGGAAGAATAAGTGTTAACATAGTATATAAACATAATATGTGATCCAATTAATATCATTGTACTTAGGTTATGTTAGCGAAATGTACAATTTTGTAGACAGTATTTAATTATTTAACATTTGCCTGCATCCGAATATTTTTATAAATTAACGGTGTGGATATTTTTTTTATTTATTTATTATAGGACAACACAACAGATTACATCACGACTTAAAGCTATAACTTACAAAAATAATGGTGTAATACAAGACATAATCCTTATACGTGTTATCACGGCATGCCAAGATTGAGTAACAAACATTTTAAATAAAATTGCTTAAACTACTCACAATTCCAACAAATCAAGAACTATAAATATAATGAATATCAATCGACGGGGATGTCCTTGAGAATGTCTTTCAAAACATTTCTAAAGCGAACCAGGCTAGAGTTGAAGATGTCAAGGTTGGTAAAGCGAAGGCTATAATCCTCATAAAGTCGACATAACCTTGATAGGGGTTGATTTCGAGAGATATTATTTCGCGATAGGGGTATGTCAAATATTTTTTTCATAGGTCTACGTGGGTTGTGTTTTATGTTAAAATTTAACAGTTCCAAGGCCTCGGGGCTATCCAGTTCCGAGTGTATTATTCTGTGTAGGTTGACTAGGTCCAATTCGTCGCGACGGAGGTGAAGTGGTATCATGTTAAACTCTTTAAGCCTCTCAGCATATGACCGGAGTCTTTTATTGTTGCCAGTACGTATGCTTAATAAACGCAAAAATTTGGATTGGATCGATTCAATGCGTTCAGAGTGCACTGCATAGTATGGATTCCATATAATTGAGCTATATTCTAAATTACTTCGAACCAGACTGTTATACAACAAAATTACACTTTGAGGGTTCCTGAAGTGCCTGCTTTGTCTAGTAACGAAACCTAGTACCTGGTTAGATTTTTTTGGCTATGAGATCGTAATGTTGGCGAAAACTAAGCTGTTCGTCAAACACGACCCCGAGATCCTTAATAGACGACACACGAGATAGAGATTGTTGTTCTAAGATGTAATTGTTTAATACCTTGTTTTTTTTTAAGTGTGTAGGTGATGACAAAGAATTTTTTGACATTAAGGAACATGTTATTTTCTCTGCACCAATTAGACAAGCTGTTTAAGTCTTCCTGTATGATGCGAGTGTCGTCAGCTCCACCAATTCTATTGAAAATTTTTAGGTCGTCAGCGTATAACAGGCAAGGGGACTGAATTTTCTCAATGAGGTCATTAATGAAGGTCACGAAAAAGTAAGGGGCCCAAATGGGATCCTTGTGGAACACCGGACTTAATGAGGATTTCTTCTGATGTGTACCCCTTGACGGTCACGAGCTGACTCCTGTTCCTCAAGTAGGACTCGAGCCAACGCAACAGACTGCCATGTATACCATGTGACTCGAGTTTCTTACATAAAATTGCGTGATCCACTTTATCGAATGCTTTTTTGAAATCGGTATATATGGCATCTACCTGACCACGGTTGTTAAAAGGATCGCATATGTAGGTTCTGAGATTAAGAAGGTTACTGACTGTCGATCTCCTTTTGATGAATCCATGCTGCTTATTTGATATAAGAGGTTTTAAATGAAAATAGAGGTGATCAAATACTACTGATTCGAATAATTTGGATACTGCTGACAAAATGCTTATCGGTCTATAATTTTCACAGTTGTCTCGGTCACCAGATTTAAATATGGGGACAACGTTAGCTTTTTTCCAGCGAGAAGGGAAAACACCGCTATTCAGTGATTTATTAAATATTAGCAGAAGCGGGTGACACAGTTCATCTGCGCATACCCGCAGTAATATAGGTGGTATGCCATCAGGGCCGGCTCCCTTGTTGGAGTCAAGATGCCTCAGTTTTGTTAATATTTCGTTCTCAGTGAGTACGATTTTAGTAAGAAGACTATTTGTTTGACTACAACAGACGGATACACCCGATCCACGACTATGATCTTCAAATACTGATCCAAAAAATTCTGAAAACAGATCGCAGATTTCCTTACCACCAGCAGCCGTTGTTTCACCAAATGTCATTGAGTCGGGAATACTCGAGTTGTTGCGTCTTTTGCTGTTAATGTAACTCCAAAACGACTTAACGTCTTTTTTTCAAAGCATTTTCGATAGATCTGATGTATTTATTGTAACAACAATTTATGAGTTTTTTACATCTAGCTCGAAGGAGAGAGAATGTATCGTAATCTCGTGGATTTTTGTATTTTTTGTAGCGCGCGTGGTATTTGTTTTTTTCCCGCATACAACGACGCAAGCCAGGACTGAACCATTTGGGATATTTATTTGAGCGGTTTTTAACTGTTGGAGTACAATCATTAATAATTTCGTAGATCACATCGTAAAATCTAGCCACGGCCTCATCTACATCTGCCCCATGAAGTAGATCTGACCAGTTGGTATTATTGATTCTCTGCTTTACAGTTTTGTATTGGCATTTATAGAAATTTAGCCGCTTTGACTCATTGACTTTTAGAGGTTTATAATTAAGGGAATTTGAGTCTTGAAAATCGATCCGTAAGGCAGGGTGATGTTTATCCTGTTTTAATAAGGTCTTCTCGTTGGTGATGGTCATATTTCCAGAAGTGCTAAGAGCAAGATCTAGTATCTTATTGTTATTATTGGGGATGGGGTTGAACTGTGACAGATCACAGAATGCCACAGTATCTAACAATAGTTCGCTCTTATAGTCCATCTCATTGCAGCTAGCTGTCATACTGCCATCGTTTGACAGGATCCATGAGACATTGGGTACATTAAAGTTGCCAAATAATGCAAAACAATTCTGTTCATTTGATTTTAGGATAATGTTTTGAAGATTTGAATAGAAGTTTGACAGGTCATTTTTATTAAGATATGGAGGTAGATAGCAAACGCATACATTAATTGTCTGACCATTAATATTAGGTGGCAATATGCTAATCCAGACATCCTCTAGTTCGCTTTCCCAGGAGAGCTGTCTGACAGCAGAATATTGTTTTTTAACTGCTACGAGGACACCGCCTCCATGTTTTTTTAATACAAGTGGTATCGCGATCTCTACGGAAGACATTGTATTGCTCGTCAAACAGTTCCCCATCATATACAGAAGCATCGAAATTTGTTTCAGTTAGACATATCAAATTGTAATTAGAGTTCAGAAAATTTTTATAAAGACTATCTATTTTACTTCTAGCTCTATTGAGATTTTGATAATATATGTACATTCTTAAAAATATGTAAAAAGATACCAAATAAATGCTTCGAGTTTAATCAGATTACAAAAAGAAAAAATAAAATGAAAGAAATAAATAAATTAGACTGCTCTATACAGGGTTATTAGGCGGCAGCTTTGATAAATAACTAGTGTCTCTTATAAGTATAGCAGGGGATTCTTCATTTTTACGAACATAGAAACGACCGTATTTTACCCAGACAAATTTGTAGTGGTTAATTTTAGTCCATTGTCTTGCCGCGGCGTGTACTGCCTTGCATCCAGCTGATAGGTGTTGTGTAGATATTGTATTTTTCGCCAGCCAAGCCCATGTGAGATGAGTTTAGAGGACACAACTTGTTTGCTTTATTGAATCTTCGCACTGCAGAGATGATAGTGTCGCGGTTATGTTCCGAGTGCAGCGTCGCAATAATATTGCGGGGACGGTCTGACGAAGGGTTCATCTTTGCAACACGGCGGATAGATTTTATGTCTGACTCAGCAATAGGGCAATTTATGACCTCACACAGTTTCATCAGCCCATACAACAAATTTTCCTATCGTTTTTCGGGTACCGACTGGATTTCAATGTTGCAGTTTCTTGAGGATTTGTCTAAGACCTGCAGAGTTTTATTCATTTGGGATAATTCGGATTGTAGTTGCACATTTTCATCTTCAAGCTTGCGAACCTTGTCTGACAACGTCTTAAGTTCAGCTTTTACGCCCCTTTGCTCCTCCGCAAGGAAATCTGTCATTACGGTGAACTCGGTTTTTAGTTTGGCTATTTGATCACTAACTTCATTCCTTATTGTTCTGGTTAAAGATACTTAAAAGCTTTCCAGTTTAGTATCCAACTTAAGATCTAGAAGTCTCGAGAATTGGTCCAATGTGATACTCGCAGCGGGAGTACATCCGAATGACGTGGGTGTATTTTCAACTGTGTCCATGACTGGTCGACTAATTTCAACAGTGTTTTCACTAATCGTAAGGTCTTCGCAGGACATGCTAGATTCATCCATGTTTTCTAGTTGTTTCCGAACAGGCGTATTGCAGTTGTTTCCCTTTCGCCTAGTTACGTTGATGCAAAGTGGACATATCCAGGACCTTCTCAGTTCGCCCAGGTTAGCATTGTAATAAGATTGAGTTATGTTCAGGCATATATAATGATAATGTGTCATACACTTTATACATCGGAGTAGTTCCTCGCCAGTAATTCGATTACGACACGCTTCACAATTCATAGTGATAAAAGTTCGTTTCAATAATATATTCGCTTGAACAAGAACCGTTTATTCATCATGCATATAGTTCACAGTTCAAAGATTGTTTTGATGTATGATTTTAATGCTTACAAACACTATTACAGTACTTTTTCAACGATAACTTAGGAGCGTGACTAAACTATACACTTCTCTGACCACTCAACATATTAAGCTTGAAAACAAATTAAAACTTTAAAAATTTAGGAGATTTTAATGCACACCCAGGGGAGCTTTTTTGTAAAGAACTAATAAATTTTTGTAACGATCAAAACTGGGAGTGCATAGATCTAAAAACGTTAGGTCATAGTTCTAGCACATACACATATATTAGTGAAATTAATGGCAGTCGGCGCTGGCTCGACCACTGTTTGATCACTGAGGCCGCCCGTAGTTCCGTTACTGACGTTAAGGTGCATTATGATGTATTATGGTCAGACCATTTTCCACTAGAAATTCAGTGCAATATTAAAACTTTGACATAGTCGACGGGGCGGCCGCAGACCATTTTAAACAAAGTAATCTGGGGGGAAGGTGATGAGCAACAAACAAAAATCTTTACTAGAGTTTGTAACGAAAAATTAAAATTAATTGACTTTCCCCATGAGCTTGAGAAGTGTTGTGATTCAACTTGTAATGATTTGAGCCTAGAGCACATTAACGTAATTGACAAATTTTACAATAATATAATCTTATCACTCCAAGAGGCCGCGGAGATTAGTTTTAATTACAGTCAGGGGGGAGGCAATAAGAGGGGTGGTCGACCCATTGCAGGGTGGAATAAATATGTACGTGACGCTCACCAGGACGCTAGGCAAGCATTTCTGACTTGGGTATGGTACGGACGACCCTCACAAGGTCGTATTTATGAGGATATGTATAGGTCTAGGAAAAATTTTAAGGAAAAATTAAAATTCTGTCAAAAAAATCAAGAATTAATTAAAATTAATATTTTAGCTACCTATCACAAAGATAAAGATTTTCGAAGCTTCTGGAAACACACCAGGAAATTAAGTCCGAAGCCTAGCGTACCGGTTAGCGTTGAGGGTATTCAAGACCCCAGAGATATAGCTAACTTGTTCAGTTCTCATTTTAGGGTGCAGTCGCAGCTAAATGCACGGGGTGCTGATGTTGAGGTAATCGTATCTGGTGTGCCAAAACGTGTGACAGCTAAAGAGGTTGAACAGTTAATTAAAGGTATGAAAAGAGGCAAGTCACCGGGTCATGACGGCCTCAGCATTGAGCACTTCATGTATGCTGGGCCGCATCTCCCGAGGTTACTAGGTATGCTATTTACTTTCTGTATCAGACACTCATACCTGCCTGCAGAGTTGATGAGATCGGTCGTTGTTCCTATTGTTAAGAATAAAACTGGAGATATATCCGATAAGACCAACTATCGGCCGATTTCATTAGCTACCATCACAGCAAAAGTACTTGACGGTCTGGTTGAGAGACAGCTCAAGCGTCACCTGGTTCTGCACGACGCTCAATTCGGTTTCAGGCCAAAACTGTCAACTGAGTGCGCCATTCTGGCTCTCAAGCATACTGTCAGGTATTATATGGATAGGAAGACTCCGGTTTACGCGGCTTTTCTTGACTTGTCCAGGGCGTTTGACTTGGTTAGGTATGACATCCTGTGGAAAAAACTACAAAATTCAGGAGTTCCTGGTGAGATTATAAATATTCTTAAATATTGGTATGGCCACCAGACTAACTAAGTCAAATGGTTGGATCAGCTTTCTGATGCGTACGGATTGGAGTGTGGGGTGAGGCAGGGTGGTTTGACCTCCCCGACGCTTTTTAATTTGTATATAGACGAGCTGATTGTTAGGCTTGGCAACACCAGTGTCGGCTGTTTCATTGATGGTCTCTGTGTAAACAGCATCAGTTACGCGGACGACATGGTGTTGCTGAGCCCGTCAGTTGCTGCTCTAAGAAGGCTGATCTCAATATGCGAGGAGTATGCTGAATCCCACGGCCTATTGTATAATGTTAGGAAAAGCGAGTTGATGGTTTTTAAAGCCAGGACTCGTAAGGTGATGTATGTACCGCCTGTCAAACTCAACAGTAGTGAACTTGTAAGGGTGCCATCCTTCAAGTATCTCGGTCACGTGGTTACCGAGGACTTGAAGGATGACAAGGATATTGAAAGGGAAAGGAGGGTGATGGCAGTCCGCTGCAACATGTTGGCTCGCAGATTTGCACGTAGCAGTCCAGATGTAAAAATAACACTGTTTAAGGCATACTGCCAAACGCTTTATACGTGCAATCTATGGGTCAACTACACGCGGGGGGGCTGTCGGCGCTCTCCGAGTACAATATAATAATGGTCTGAGAATGTTGTTGGGGCTTCCAAGTTACTGTAGTGCATCAGGGATGTTTGCATTGGCGCACATTGATGGGTTTTACACCGTAGTGCGCAAGCGAATCGCATCCCTGCTGCGCACGGTGCGGGGGGAGCGCCAACACCATTCTCAGAGTAATCAGTGAAAAGCCTGACTGTCCGATACTGCGGCACTGGGTGTACGCTCACACACATATTGCAGGGGTGTCGCGCAGTGCAGGCAGATATTTAAATTAAAATAAATATTTTCCAAAATATTACTAACCTAGTTTTTAAGATGTCTTTGTATGCTACTAACAATATTATGGACAACAGTCTGAAATAAATCAATTTTATTTTATTTATTATTTATAAAACGCAAAACACTCACAAAAAGTCAAATTGTGCAGGTTAGATACGATCCTGCGACCTCAAATAACCATCTCGACTGCGTAGCCAACACGCCAACGCTACTACTTACTATGTTTACCAAAATAGTAGTTCTATTACAAACAAATACGAAACGACGGATTCGTTCGTTATGAGCGTTTTGCATATGTTTGAAAATTTTTCTTCAACCGTCACTTTAAATCACAAATACAAAGTTTTTAAGTTTCTAAAGTATTTATTGTTTTATATTTCTATTTTTATTTGCGTCACAGTTTACCAATGGATATATAAGATGTATTTCGTATTATTTTGGGATAAAATAGCACATATCGGTTTTATTGCTGTGGGTAGCTCACCGTAAGATTCACAATAATGCAGTCTAATTTGCGTATTATATGTCTTGATAACAATCTCACAAACGTATTGAACAGTTTTCTCCACTTTTTGGTAAATCTAACACGATACAGTTGAATAACTATTTTTAAGCAATTAAATTACGGGAGCACAATGTTCACATGACGCTCACAGACAGAAATGCCTGGCAGATTCTATGGGATATGGTGTTGACAGCTGATGCACAGGTCCTAGTTCGGCTGCAGATGCTATTTTTTCAGGTATATGTACCAATGTAGCTTTGTTAAATGTTAGGCAAATATCTTGATGTACAACCTCTTGGAAATAAAGAACTTATTATTATGGGGTTTTGGTAGTGTATGGTATTCTCATCTAGTTGGGCTGAACAAATATATAAAAAGAAATGATAAATATACATAAATATATATTTCATATACCAGCATAAATAAATAAATAACACATAAATAAATAAAAGCCCAACCAGATGGAGGCCTTCGGCAGGGGAGACCAAACGGCCGAGGGTTAGGGGGAAAGGGAAAGAAACCGGAGGACGATGCGGGCGGTATCGAAGAGCACCGCCTTCTGCATTTGAGCCTGGAGCGGTCCGCCACGTAGTCCCAGCCGCCTCAAATGTCCCAAGAGGCTGACTGGGATTAGCCCGTTTGCAGAGACGACTACAGGAATAATTTCGGTCGGCAGACCACCCCACATGTCGGTCACCTCGTGAGCCAGGTTCAGATATTTTGTTAGTTTATCTGTTTCGGCTTTCACGAGGTTCTCGTCATACGGAATGGTAATGTCGACCAAAAATATCCTTGATTGTGCCCGGTCCATCAGCACAATATCAGGCTCATTCGCAAGAATAGTCCTGTCTGTGATGATGGCCCGGTCCCAATAGAGCCTGGCGCGATCATTTTCGAGCACGGCTTCCAGCAAGTACTTGTAATACGGCAATTTCAGATCCACGAGACCGTATTTCTGAGCAAGCTCCTGGTGAAGAATTCTGGCTACTAGGTTGTGTCTGTGCAAGTACTCAGAGTTAGAAAGCGCCGAACAACCGGAGATGACATGCTTAAGTGACTTACCTGGATGGCGACAAATTCGATAGATGTCGACGGTGCACCCTTTTAGGATGTATCTCCGATAGTTGTTGGTCTTAATAACCTGATCTTGTATTGCACAGACAAAACCCTCGGTTTCCCCGAAGAGGTCCCCAAAGCGTAGCCAGTGGAGGGAGGCTACTGTGTCTACGAAAGGCTCATGTAGAGCCTTGTAGAACCTCCCATGGAGCTCCTTTTCCTTCCATACGGTCTCCCGATCGGAAATGCTCTACACTGCCTGGTCTTACCATTGCTCGTTGGCTAAGGATAGAGGGGTAAGTCCTTTATCACGATAAATGACGTCCTTATAGAATGGATCATCCGATATCACCAGGAAGTAATCAGGGAGGCTGCACACTTCGCGATTATGCATGACGAGCGCGCTCAGGAAGCCACGTCCACCATGCTTTCGCGGCAAGTACAGCCTCATTACCGACGATCTCGGATGATGCATCATATGGGAGGTCATGGTAGTGCGGACTTTTCTATCCAGGGCGTTAAGTTCCGTCTGAGTCCACCTGAGTATGCCAAAAGTATACATGAGGACAGGCATGACCCAGCTGTTATACGCGTGTGCCTTATTCACACCGGATAAAAGGCTGTTAAGCACTTTGGTCAAGCGTGCATAAAACATGTCGCAAACTGACTGTTTCATACCAGCCTCATCGATACCGATGTTCTGTGACATACTCAGGTATCGGTATGTTTCAGCCTCGGAAAGGGTTCATAAATTGACGTGCATAGATAGGTCTATGCCCTCAGAGTTAGTAACCCTTCCCTTTTCAACATGGAGTACAGCACACTTATCCGTC